TATGCACACACTATCTAACACCAATTCTTGACCTGAACTCAAAAAAAAAAAGGACAATAATTCTCAGTTTTCACACTATCAACTTGGAGTCGCACAGGGAGAGGATGGCTAGTACGAACTTGGACCGCTATTTACTGAAGAATACAAACGTTAGTTCGTCTTCAAAACTTGAATATGTAAAAGAAAATATGTGTACATTATTTTACCTTTACATAAATAAAAAATAATAATAATAACCAAATTTTACCGAGGAAGAAGAAAGACCACTTTCCCTCGTTGGCGTGAAGGGAATCCATGCTCGGTTATGCATTGGTGTCCTCATCCCATAGTGACGTGGAGTAGCTGCATTTAATTAAAAATTCAATAAGGTCCTATATATTCATGTGTGTTTGTAACTAATTAAATAAAATCAGTTTCCTAAGTGTCTACAATAACAAAAAACATACAATTAGATTCTCTCATGGGAGTCATATTATGATGTAATGGAGTTCGAGGAGGCTGCATTGGCGTTTCACTTTCCACATCATATCTAAAATCAAATCAGGAAAACGATTAAAATCCATTTTCTCCCAAAATAATAATAATAGTAGTAATAACAAATAATAGCGCAAATGTGTACCTGATTGGTGCAGAGACGTTGAAATTGTCTGAAATATGATTGCGATCAACTGCAGAAAAATGGTTACTTGCAACCATAATGTTGTTATAAATAACGATGATAAAATAAAAGATCGGAAAAGAAAAAAGGAAATGACTTAATCGGCCAAGTAAAGAAACTTTTACCCGTGACAACTTTCATCTGGGACTCTAATTCGACCCGGACAGAAGGAGCTTTAACCTCCACCACACGTCCCTTGTATCCCTTGTAATTGCCGAGGCGAATTTTCACAAAAGCTCCTACTAAAGAATTATGACCTTTTCCAGCTATCGAAAAAAGAGAATTTCGTTATGACAACGAAAAAAAGAAAATTCATAGCAAACACAACAAAAAGATTTAGGGAAAAACTACGAAAAGCGACTTACGATTCACATGAATACCTCTGGAAGGTGGCCTTGCATTATATTGTGGTACTCGAGAAGGAGTTCTAAAATTCGCAACTCTTGAAGTCGTCGTGTTACCCTAGAATAAAAGTAATTTAAGTTATATGTCAATGAAGAAAATACTGCAAAAAAAATAAAAAATAAAAAATAAATAAATACTCGGTCAACAAGAACTCGAGAAGGAAAGATTTAGGTCCATACATTTATATCACTTTTGGCGAGTGATCCACCAACCATGACACAAGACTCGGATTTAGCGCACATATAACCGCCATGAACATGGTGGTAGCGATCGTAAATAAACAAGATTCCTCGGTATATTTGCTCAATCCTGCCCTGTCTCCCCTGTCGTGCAGCAAAATCTATATCAATATCTAAATATACGAAATTCTTTTCTGCCCAACCCCATACGAAAACTTCTTCCTTTTTATGTGCATTTTTTATTCATAGCATGCACGCACAATATGAAAATGTGAGTTAGGGACAGGGTTGTTATCGAATCGAATCGAGCTTAAGGTTTTTGAGCTCGAGTTCGACTAATTTTCAAACATGTTCGTGTTCATTCGTTTAATACTCGAACAGAAAATCGTTCGTGTTCGTTGGTTTATTGGTTCGACAAGTCTGTTTTCGTCGTTTATACTTTATATAATTAAACTTGTTCGTGAGTTGTTCGTGTTCGTGTTTGTTGACTTTTTTTAATTTTAATACCATGCAAGTTATTTTATTTAATATTTAATATATAAACATATTTAAATACTATATTATATATGTATATACTATATATATAATTTATATAATATATAAAATTATAAGAATACCTTTTTTGTTTGCAAACGCTCGTTTAGTTCGCGAACTTTTTCGTATATAGCATAAATTCATGTTCGAGTTCGATTCGATTACTAAATGAACGAGCTTTGTTGGCAAACAGTTTGGTTCGATAATAGCCCTACTAACTTGGGGTATAAAAGTTGTTCTATGAACATGGTGAGCAAAAAAGAGTCGAATTGGCATTAAAGTTTGGGACTCGAACCAAAACATGTTAACTACGACAAAAATTGAGCTCCCAAGAGATAAACTACAAGAAGGGCTTGAGAAGAGCACCTTGCATGGACCATCAAGAATCTTAACAATATCCTTCACATATAATGCATTTGTGAAACGATCTTTTGCATAACAATGCTTGTAAATCTTGTTCTTAATCTCCCTTAATCTCACAACGGCAACAATTGGCTTCCCCTGAGCACCTTTAAGGACCTGAGAAGCGCNNTTACTTAAGTAGCACAAGATCATGAAGCTCATGAGCACTTATCTGATCAACACATACTTCAGAGCTCAACACAACATTGATGGCCGAGACACGGTGCTAAATGTTTAAAAAAATAAATATTGAAACAAAATCAAGACTTTTTTGAACAAATATTTTACTCTCGCAAGTTAAATGATAATAATCACATACCAATTCTTTGGTCGTATCCGATACTATAGTCACTGCATGACCTTCAAACGAGACCACCAAACCAGTTATGCCTTCAGTAGCACTAGACACGACCTTTACATGGTCCCCAGGTTCAAAGCACTTGCAAAGCTCCTTGTTACTGATAGCGAGAGTTTTCTGGAAAAAAAAAAAAATAAACTTGAAAATGAAAATAACATTTTTACAGGAAAAACATTAACCTTCGAATGGAAAAAAAAGAAGCCATAAGAAGCATATTATAGCTGAGTTGGTACTTAACAGAAAAGGCTTTTGAATTAGGTTTGACATGAACGATATCTTCTTGAACTTTTTCCACAACTCCTTTTAAATTTCTAAGATCTCCCTTGACAACAATCACCGTGTCACCCTTTATGAATTGTGTTTTGTTTTTAGGAGCCAATAGATTCGACATGTCGCCATCGGTAACCTCACCGTGCCGCCTGAATTTCTCGATTTCATCGAAAGTTGGCTGCACTTTGTCCGTGACAAGCGACTTCAGAGAGAAATTTTTATACAAGAATCCATTTTTAAACATCAGCCCCCCGATTTTGTCAAAATAATCACCAGTAGCTTGATCTCGTTTACGCTCCACATGAATGTCCAGTGCTCTGGATAAAAAAGACTAAATAAATAATCATATTACATGAGAGGATAAAGAAGAGCAAAAAGAACAAACATAGAAAAATTACCTAGCTTCATTAATATTCATAAGTCGTGCAGGTGGGATAAATGACTTATTCCTTGGAACTTGTCTTCCTTCCTGAAACAAGGCCGTCACCATAAAGATCGTATAAAAAAAATTACGTGAGGTTGCATGTCATGCAATTAAATGTAATCATACACGAAAGTTACGTGAAATTGCATGTCATGCTAATTATATAAGCTTTTCATCAAACAATTAATACATGCAATATTGGAATGTTGCTATCGGTTTCACAATAAGAAGATAATTGAATTAATATATTTAATAATGGAACATCTACAACAAATTTTAGATACAAATCAAGAAAAAACCAACCAAATAGTACTTTTGGTCATTTCTTGTGTAAATAATACATTCCAAAAGAAGAAGCCTATAATTTGGGACGGACAAAGATAGACATATCTAGTTCAATTACGGAGTGTAAACACCAAAGAGGTAATACAAACCATTTTGTCAGCCAGAGCCTGCATATCAATCCTCGGAATTAATTTCACTTTTGCTCTCTGCCTCCCGCTATCAACAATGACAACCTTGAATTTATGAAGAAATGAAAAAGGGTTCCCATTAAATCACTAACATTGAATGACAAA